GAGAGATCTCTGCGGTGCCGTAATGCCCCGGCATCGGTACCAAACCCGAGAGATCTCTGCGGTGCCATAACGCCCGGCATCGGTACTGAACCCGAGACATCTCTATCGTGCCCTCACCGGAGCAACACAGCAAAGGGTGCCCTGGGCATTAGCATCTCCGCCACTTCCTTCTGAATGGCTTCAAGTTCCTCACACCCCCAAATGCCTCAAGCTGGTGGGCAGAGGGGAAAACTTTGGAAGTGTCTCTTCTGTCTAGCAGACTGGCCTCCCCACTGTTCCCACTGCATCCTTTAAACTTTCTCCTGTGAAGACACTGCCAGCTGCCACGGGTGCTCTCTCTGCCTGACTTTTTGTTCCTGCCTCGGGAGACCAAGGGATGGAGGGCTGCCCTCCCAACCCACAGCACCTTCCCTGCCCAGGGTCTGTACATGTCTTTGAACTTGTTTCCCACAGTGGTGGTGTCTGAATTTGCAGCTTGCATCTGAAGAACCAGGGTCTTCCCCAGGCGGGGTTCTCCTGGGGAAGCCAGGAAGAAGGCTGGCTCCCAGGGCCAGGGTGATGGTCAGGCAGGCGTAACCTGAACATGGGCCACAGGGCATCTGCCAGGAGAAACTGGTTTCCTGAGGCGGGGGAGCCCTGGTCACAGACAGGACAACTGGGCATTAGGCCTTCCTTTAGTTAAAAGAGGTTATCAGCCACCGTCATTTCTCGTTAGGGTGGGGATGCCAGCTGCTCTGGTATGGGAATGCCAGTTTCGTTTGTGGCTCTCAAAACAAGAGCCTTGCATGGCTCCTAAAACAAGTAAGAACTCGGCACGTGGTATCTCACGTTATTACTAAAGTATTCCCAACATAGGGCACAAACCCAAACATTTTTTAAAAACTCCACAACACAGACAGCACAAGGCCATGAGTGTAACACAGTGTAACACACACGGTTGAGGGGGGTGCAGGCCGAGTCCCCAGGAGAGAGCCCAGTACCTTTAGGTCATTATGTAGAGCGTGCCCCACTAGAACTCTGCCCTTCAGCATCTCTGCCACTTCCTTCTGAACAACTTCAAGCTCTTCTCCTGGAAAATCAACACAAAGTAGTGGTTTTTTGCAACACACAGATCACCATCATTCTCTGAGGAGGTACTGCTCCCACCCCTGGTAACACCTAAGACAAATGGTCAGGCCTGCAATGCCACCTATGGAGGGGTGACTCGAAGCCACCACACCCACCCCCCTGTACACCCGGGAGAAGTGCCCTGTGGGCCCCTGGCAGGGGTGGCTGCAAGGCCCACCTCTGAGGAGAAGAAGAAAGCGCTCCGCACAGTCTGCAAAGGCGGCTCGTGGTGGAGGAGAGCATATGCTGAGTGGCACTGAGAAACTTCTAGAGCCGCCTGGCAGAGCAGTTCTGCTATTCAACATCATCATTGCAAATCAGGGCTTATGCCTGACAGTCTTCCAAATGGAAATAAAAACAAGACTGCCTCCACAACATCGGGGAAGCCCTGGGCTCCAGAGGCAGCCCTGCCTGCTTTTGGGACCACCCCACCTGCAACCCCTCTTGCACCTCATGACTCTGCTCCCGAACAGGGATGATTAGATCAAGGGTGGCCCCAGCCAAGAGGCACCAGCTTCCTTCCCAGGAATCAGACCGAGAGAGGCTGGCCAGTCTACCATTCCGAGGAGTGGCAAGGCCACCCTGGTGGCTGCATGCATCAGTGAAGTGGACAAAGGCAGTGTGCAAAGACCGGAAGGGCACAGAAAAGAGACCACGTGGCCTCAATCCCTAAAGGTCTCCAGAGTCTCCAGGTCCCCGGCCTTGAGGCCACCCTGGAACGCCCTCTCTTCTTATCCCAGACACAGTCTCAGCCTCCATCTGGATCTGGCCTCATGGCCCTATAGTCTGTTCTCAATGCCACGGCCAGAGGGAACCTCCCAGAACCTAAGCCAGACCAGGCCTCTCAGTGCTCATAACCTTTCCAGGGATTCCCAAGATCCTCAATAGGGTCTGTGAGATTCCATGATCTTCCCCCTTTCAACCACCTTCCTCCTATCCCACCCTTCACCCCTGCCGGCCTCCTTCCAGGGCCTCTAACACACTCCACCTCAACCCATACTGCCACGAAATACAAAGCAATTCAAGAACGTTCCTGGTCACCTCTGGGAAGCTGGAGCTATTTTTTAAAATATTTTTAAAAGGCTGGGCACAGTGGCTCATGCCTGTAATTCCAGCACTTTGGGAGGCTGAGGCAGGCAAATCACCAGAGGTTGGGCACTCAAGACCAGCCTGACCACCATGGAGAACCCTGTCTCTACTAATACAAAATTAGCCGGGCGTGGTGGCACATGCCTATAATCCCAGCTACTGGGGAGGCTGAGGCAGAAGAATCGCTTGAACCCACAAGGCAGAGGTTATGGTGAGCCAAGACCAGACCATTGCACTCCAGCTTGGGCAACAAGAGTGAAACTCTGTGTCAAAAAAATAGACACATATATATTAGACATGACGTCTCGCTATGTTGTCTGGGCTGGACTTGAACTCCTGGGCTCAAGCAATCCTCCCTCCTCAGCCTCCACCGTGCCTGGCTACCAGCCTGGTCTTGAAGTCAGCGGACAGGAGGCACTGAAGCGTAAAAGCTGTCTAAGGATGCCTTTTGTATTTTGAAGCCCATCACCCCAGGAGAAGACAAGACGCATCGAAACTAGCTCCAGGGAGTGGCCCCAGACAGAAAAGAGAACAAACGGGAGAAAACGAACCCAGTTACTACCCTTTCTAAGCTCCTGAGCTGCAGATGACGTACCCTGCTGGAGGTTCTCAGGCCGAATCCCACTGACCGCTGTCCTATAGTCCGTCACGGGCTCGGTCGGCTTGACGTATTTGTCATAAACGCACTTCCCGTACTGGTTCACGATGGACACACGGGCGGCCACGCTCTCCTCCCCCTTGGGGCCCACGCCCACCATCTCAACGTCCAAGGCTAAGGCTCTCGTCAGGCTGAAGGGTAACCAAAGGCTTCAGTTTAATAAACACAGCAGGACCCAGGGCTCCACTTCAGAGCCCCAGGGATCCACGGACTAAGTGTTGGCAGAGAAAAGCTCTCTGCCCCTCACTCATTTGCACCCACAGTTGAGCTCTGTGTGGTCCTGGTTCTTGGCAGGATGCTGGGAGGTGCTTGCTCCATTCACCTGGAGGCAAGGAAAGTCTCCTCCTCCTTGAAGAAGCTCTACCCGCTACACCTCAGCATCCGCGGCGGCCCCCGCTCCCCGACCCCGCATACCCGCCGAAGGCCTGCTCTTTCACAAGGCTGAGGCTGCCACTGCCGCTGCTCTGACCCAGCCGTTTCCTCGCTATCTTGGCTGCCTCTGGACCTATGGCAGCTTCGATATCCACCGGGTCCACGTCGTCAAACCAGATGTCTTCCCTAAAAGGCAAAGATGACAGGGTGATGACCAGAAGACTCTAGTGCCACTGGTGGGGTGGGGCTGTGGCGCTGCCAGTGCAGGTGGGTAGAGCGAGGGCACAGTCTGCCCCTCCTACAGGCTGGCCCCAGACGCCCTGGATGCTGGCCCTGATGCTTCTACTATTTTTACCATCCCGGCATTTTCCTTTTTTTTTTTGAGATGGAGTCTCGCTGGGTCACCCAGCCTGGAGTGCAGTGGTGCAATCTCAGCTCACTGCAACCTTCACCTCCCAGGTTCAAGAGATTCTCCTGCCTCAGTCTCCCTAGTAGCTGGGATTACAGGCGCCCACTACCATGCCTGGCTAATTTTTTCTATTTTTAGTAGAGATGGAATTTTGCCATGTTGGCCAGGCTGGTCCTGGACTCCTGAGCAAGTGATCCGCCCGCCTCAGCCTCCCAAAGAGCTGGGATTATAGGCGTGAACCACTGCCCAGCCTGATCTCTTTTCTTTTTAATTTGAAAATACACTCATGACCCAAGATTTAGGGACACAGACAAATGCAAAGAATATAAAACAGAAACATATAACCCGCCACCCAGGGGTAATGAGTGCTAACATTTTAATTATGAAAGCAGCAGGTTCATCATCAAACAGGAAACACAGGCAGACACAACGCCTGTAAGCTGGAAAGAGAACGCCCTGCCCTCCACACTCAGATGCTCACACAGGTACAGAACACCTGCTACGGAGTGTGTCTCTTGGGCTAAGGCTAAATGCCATTTCCTTAGAAAAACCCTTCCTGGCCCCACTTGTCCCATGCTCCCAAAACCTTCTCCTCACTGGACTTATCCCGACCACATTCGTGCAACAATGGCAGTCTAGTCTGTCCACCGCACTTGACAATAAGCCTCAAGAGGGAGCAGCAGGCCCGCCTTGATGAACTCTCTCTCCCAGACAGCCTGTCCAGCACAACGCAGGGAGGCCCCCAAACAGCTCATTCCTCAGCTGTCAGCGACTGTGTCCTCAACATCCAGGCGACACGAAGCCAGCTGTGACTCACGAACACATCACCTCCAGCTGAACCATTCAGACATGGCCACTGACTCCTGGTCCACCCCACATGGGTGGCCAGCACAGGACTTATCCTTTTGTTTTTTTTGAGAGTCTCACTCTGTCGCCTGGGCTGGAGGCAGCAGTGCAATCATGGCTCACTGCAGCCCCCACCTCCTAGGATCAAGTGATCCTCCCACCTTGGCCTCCCGAGTAGCTGGGACCACAGGCAACGGCCACCACTCCTGGCTCCATCACAGCGTTTGAGTAATCGCCAGGCACTGAGCCAAGAGTGCCAACCTCACGAGCTCCTTGTGCTGCCACCATGACTATAACAGGCACAGAGGATGTCGGAAACCTGCCCCAAACCACCCAACTGGCGAGAAAGCAGGGACAGGTCTCACACTCGAGTCTTTCTGGGTTCAGCACACTTTCCTTCACATGCGGACTTGCACCCACTAAATGCTGAGCTCATTCAACACTTCAAGATGCAGCTGTGGCTATGAAACAGGCCCCGCCTTGTCATGCCCACACTCTAAGGAAAACGAGGAACAGCTAAGAAACAAAGGAACAGATGATATCAGGGTAAGGTGACAGAGAATGCAGTGAGGCCACCAGCCTCCGTAAGGAGAGGGGCCTTGGTGAAGTTGCTGTGCCTCGGTCTCAGTGGTGAGGTTGACCATACTTACTCGGTGGGTGGGGCTGGGGCTGCCTCCTTAACTTTCCGCTTCTTATGCTTGATGTCCCCTCGTTCTGGACCAGTGTTGCCATTTGTCCTTTCCTTGGTTCCTGTCTTACTGTGCTCTGCTCCGCTGGCCTTGGTGTGAGGTGCTAGCACCTTCCTGTCCATCGTGGACCCTGAAGGGACAGAGCCCCCGCTGGCCTCGGGGTCTTTTCCTGCCACCATCTCCTCTCCATTCACCTGAGGCGAGGTCTCTTTTTTGTTTTGCTGGATAATTCTGGGCTTCTTTTTGGAACTCATCTGAGAGATGACAAGAGGCTTGTCTGGGGCCTGAGATTTTTGTTTCAGCAGCCACTGGGACCCAAAATAAAATACATGTTACATTTGAATTTGGAAATTACAGACAGCAAATCGAAAAAACTTACGTATGTATACACACACACACACACACCAATCACATATATACAATTCCCATCCACATCACTGAAATTCAAACGTTTGGAAAAAGCTTTTTCATTCTCTTGAGTCACTTGTGGTGAAATGCTGTTCTTTGTTTATCTTACTATAACGCATACTTTTTTTTTTTTTTCTGAGACAGAGTCTTGCTCTGTTGCCAGGCTGGAGTGCAGTGGCACGATCCCGGCTCACTGCACCCTCTGCCTCACAGGTTCAAGCGATTCTCCTGCCTCAGCTTCCCAAGTAGCTGGGACTACAGGTGTGCGCCACCATGCCCAGCTAATTTTTGTGTTTTTTAGTAGAGATGGGGTTTCACTATATTGGCCAGGATGGTCTTGATCTCTTGACCTTGTGATCCGCCTGCCTTGGCCTCCCAAAGTGCTGGGATTATAGGCGTGAGCCACTACACCCAGCAGAGAGCTAGAAGAATGAGCAAGTAGAGTGAGAATGTACTCATCACTGAGGGGAGGGCATAAAGTCATTCATGAGGGATTGGCCCTCATAACCCAATACCTCCCAAGGGCCCCATCTCCAACACTGGGGATCACATTTCTTAAAAAAACAAACAAACAAACAAAAAAACACTATTTTTAATTTTTATTTAGAGACAGACTCTCACCATGTTTCCCAAGCTGGTCTTGAACTCCTGAGCTCAAGCGATCCTCCTGCCTGGGCCTCCCAAAATGCTGGGACTACAGGTGTGGGCTACTCAGGAGGCTGAGGCAAGAGAATCTCTGGAGCCCAGGAGTTCAGGCAGCAGTGAGCTATGATTCTATCAGTAGCTAACTCCAAGGGACGTGGTAAGAATCTACGAATGATGCACGTGAAAGAGCGTCTGGCAGGGAGCAAGCAACCGCTACAGAAGTGCCAGCTACTCGAGAGACAGCAAGTACAACACAGCCTTAAAACCAGAGTCAGTCCGACTGGTTCCCAGCTGCGATGTCAAATAATCTATTTAACCTTTTCAAGCCCATATCCTCATCTGCACAATAGAGATGACAAAGGTATCCACTTCACAGCGTTATTCTCGGGCTTGCAAGAGAACACAGGACAGACTGCACATTTTAGGAGCTCAATTAGTTTTTACTTCTAGACCATAAGTATTGCTAGAACCCTCCCCATCATATGTCTGCTATTTGCTTTTTGCGTCTGCCAAGGGATCTGCTCCCTGTCTTGCTACACACATCAACGTGTTCTTTATTTTTTTGAGATGAAGTCTTGCTCTGTGGCCCAGGCTGGAATGCAGTGGTGCATTCTCTGCTCACTGCACCTCCTCCTCCCGGGTTCAAGTGATTCTCCTGCCTCAGCCTCCCGAGTAGCTGGGACTACAGGCTTGCATCACCACGTCCGGCTAATTTTTTAGTAGTAAAGACGGGGTTTTACCACGTTGGCCAGGCTGGTCTTGCACTCCTGACCTCCGGTGGTCTGCCTGCTTGGCCTTCCAAAGTGCTGAGATTACAGGTGTGAGCCACCCCGCCCGGCCACCAGGGTGTTCTTTTCACTGTCCCTGGGTGGTTCGTCTGGCTTTTAAGCTAAATCTCTCTCTGTAAAACCCATTCTAGTTAGTTCATTATGCAAAAGGTACAGGAGTTTATCTTTGCTTTTTTGTACTTGAAATAATTCTTTCATCAATTTCTTTCATGCCAACAAGTTCGAGACCTCCCTCAACAGGGCACCTTTCTTGTGAAAGGCTGTTTACAAGATTTCGATTCAAATGTGCCTCCACAGGTCCTTTTTGGGGCCACCCAAGTCTTTCCCTCCGTCGCGTTCTGCGGGATTGCGCCGCGCAGCGCACGGGGCCTCCCCCGGCTCCGCCCAGGCCCCCTCAAACCTCACCTCCTGTAGCGCCTTCCAGTTTTGAGAGAAGTTTTCTGGTGCCTTTGGAGGTCGCACCACAACCCCCGAGCCGCTTCCCGGCCTCTTGCTTCCCTCCTGCGCCTTGATTTTCCAAAATCCTTTTTTCTTCTTGTTTTTCTTCCGAGAGAGCGTCTTCACAGGACCCGGCTTAGCCACAGGGCTGCTCGGGGCGCGCTTGGAGGTGGGGACCTTCGCCTTCACCATCCTGCTGCGGTCCAGCGCCTGCGCCGGCAGCCACCCAAGACCTCGGCCTCCCCGGCCCGGCGCCCGCACAACACCAGCGCCTGCCCAGACCCGGGACACACCCGGCCCGGGAAATAACCCCGGAAGAGACCCCGCACGCGTCCCGCACGCCTCGGCGCGCATGCTCCAGTCCCTGGAAGGACGTGCTCATCTCTCCGCAACCGGCTGGAAACCGGGCCACCGCATCTGGTTCCGTGCAGCCTGGGCAGTTCGCCTGGTCGGGAACTGGGCCTCCGCCCTAGCGAGCGGCGTCCTGGGTCGGTGACCTCCGGTTTGGTTGGGGCAAGCTCAGGACCTCCGCGAGATCCGGGACGAGAATAAGTGAGGACGCCGGAAGGGAACTGGGGGACCGCTGTGGGTGTAGCACCCGGCGGGGCAGCAGGGCGTGAGGACGCTGAGCGGTTGGGCTGGTAAGACCCGGGCTCGGTCTCTGGACTGCGTCCTGGACTCCCCGGCCTTTCCCGCCTTGGGCTGCTCCACGCTAAACCCCACAGCAGCTCGTCTTCCATATACAGTGGGGAAACTGAGGCCTAGGGACCGGGAGGAGTTCCCGTCAGTTCACTCAGCCTGGTTTACCCAGAGCCACAGGACTGCAAAGGCCTTCCAGCAAGATCTGATAATAATACGCCACTACGGGTTATAAGTATACTAATGAGTGCATATTATTATTATTGTTATTATTTTTATTTATTTTTTTTTTTTGAGACGGAGTTTCGCTCTTGTTACCCAGGCTGGAGTGCAATGGCGCGATCTCGGCTCACCGCAACCTCCGCCTCCCGGGTTCAGGCAATTCTCCTGCCTCAGCCTCCTGAGTAGCTGGGATTACAGGCACGCGCCACCATGCCCAGCTAATTTTTTGTATTTTTAGTAGAGACGGGGTTTCACCATGTGGACCAGGATGGTCTCGATCTCTTGACCTCGTGATCCACCCGCCTCGGTCTCCCAAAGTGCTGGGATTACAGGCTTGAGCCACCGCGCCCGGCCCATATTATTTTTTATAACAACGACGATGCTAAGTCACTAGCACACCATGCCTGGTCCTGACAATACCTCGATAACCAGCACCGGTGAGGCCTCCACAAGCCTGAAGCTTCCGTTTGAATCTGGGAAGTGAGAAAGAACACGGGCTCAGCCGAGCCTGAGTGCGAGGTCCGCAAAATGTGTCAGGCCCAGAGAGGTGAGCGTGAGGCTTCAGTCACGCCAGCCGCACCGACGTTTAAAGCCATTTAGATTTTTCTTTCCTTCCCTGTGGTTTCCAGACCAGCTAAAAAATTTCCTAAAATGGTACCACAAAAAGTTGCACAGTATGACCCTCACCCATTATCTTCCTGTGGGTGGAATTTATGATACAAAGAACGACGTCCGCTCCCTACATGGCTTATGTTATTTTAATGAATCAATATAAATTCTTGGTAAACAAGTTAGGAACTGCCCCCTAACTATCTTTTTTCCCTTTAAAAACCCACTTGTGGCTGGGGACAGTGGCTTATGCCTGTAATCCCAGCACTTTGGAAGTCCGAAGCAGGAGTATCGCTTGAGCCTAGGAGTTCAAGACCAGCCTGGGCAATGTAGGGAGACCACCCCGCAACCTGACTCTACCAAATAAATAAATAAATAAATTAGCTGGGCATTGCAGCACATGCTTGTGGTTCCACGTACTGGGGAGGTAGAGGCTGCAGTGAGCCATGATCATGACACTGCACTCCAGCCTGGGCGACAGAGTGAGACCCCATATCAAAAAAATAAATAATAAAAACCCACTTGTAAATGATGCTACTCAGCATATATTCAAGGCAACTTCAGTCTATGACTCCTAGGCTCTAATCCTCAACCATGGCTCAAATAAGCTATCTATTTATATTAATTTTGCCTCGGTTTCTTCCTTTAGGTTGACAGGGGCCTACAGGGAAACACAGATAATAAGTGAATAAATCAAGATAATTTTGGATAGCACGGACTGCAATGAAGACGATAAAATGAGATGTTGTAGAGATTGACTGGTAGTGGAATTGTCAGACAAAACAGAGGACACCCAGTTCTACAGGAGCTTTAGACGAATGTAATTTTTGGTATAAGCATATCTCATGCAAAATTTGCAATATTTGGGACATAGTTATGCTAAAATTTATTTGTCACTTATCTGAAATTCTAATTCAACGTGGTGTCCTGATTTTTATTTTCTAAATGTGGCAACCATAAATGGGAGGCCAACACAGGGTCATGAGGGATGCCTCTTGGAGGAAGCAATGTCCGAGCTGAAGCTTAAATGTGCAGACTGGGGGTCAGAGGGAACAGCAAGGCATTTGATGAACTGGAGGAATGGAAAGAAGGCTGGTGTGGCCAAAATTCTGTGAGCAAGGGGGAAAGTGTGGGAGATGCAGGCAGAGGGGTGGGTAGGGGCCAGACCACAGATCTGAGAACCTTGTTGGTTTCAGGAAAGACGTTTCATTCCAAGAGCAAAGGGAAGCTGTTGTTTTTAAGCTAGGGAGTGATGCAATCTGATTTATGTTTTTAAAAGATTACTGAAGTTTCTTCATGAAAATTAGGACTGGGGTGGGGAGCAAGAGAGACAGCAGGAGACCAGGTATGAGACTGTTAGATTCCTGTGCCAGCCATGGTACGGCTTAGATTAGGGTGATGTGTCAGTTTGAGACTCCAGGAAGGAGTCACACAAGAGTTAGGCATGCAGAGTATTAACTGGGGCCTGTAAGAGGTAAAGGGGGAGGTGAAGGATGGGCAGAGAGGGCCTTCAGACCATGATGCCAATCTGATGCTGGCGAGAGGAAGCGGGGGGAGGAGGCAGGGGTGGGCAGGGAGAGCCTTGTCCTGTACTGCAGAGCTGATGAGGGTTTGGCCAACACAATGGAGAGTTCTGGGGCAAAGATTGCTCATTTGCGGAATCTTCCACTGGAAAGAAGCATCCAGGCGTAAGTATCCCCTCAGCGTCGTCCCTCGCTGCCAAGGTGTGGCAGTGGGAGAGTGTGGTCTCGGCCTGAATGTTGGCCACAGACCACCAGATGCTGCATTGGGGGCTGTCTGCGAACCAGTGCCTCTCAGCTGCATGGCAAGGTCTCTGTTGAAGGAAGAGCTGAACACCTCCATTCTGAGGGTAGCACACATGCCAGCTGTGAAAAGAGGGAGTGGGCAGATGTCTTTTTTCAGACGGAGTTGCTCTGTCACCGTGGTTGGAGTGCAGAGGCACAATCTCAGCTCACCGCAACCTCCGCCTACTGAGTCCAAGCGATTCTCCTGCCTCAGCCTCCCGAATAGCTGGGATTACAGATGCACGCCACCATGCCCAACTAATTTTCGTATTTTTAGTAGACCCGGGTTTTTGCCATGTTGGCTGGGCTGTCTCCAACTCCTGACCTCAAGTGATCCATCCACCTCAGCCTCCCAAAGTGCTGGGATTACGGGCGTGAGCCACCGTGCCCTGTCAGGAGTGGATAGATTTGATGTGTGTGTGTAACAGGCAGAGGTTCACAGAGTAACAGGGAAGTGACGTGAGGCTGGCTCCTAGGATTTTGGTCTGAGCAACTCGTTGTGGCCACTTATCATCTCAATAAATGTCTTCGGGGAGCAGGGTGAAGTTCGAAGTCCTTTCACACTTGTTGAATAGAAAATTGCTGGGCTCAGTGGCTCATGCCTGTAATCCTAGCACTTTGGGAGGCCAAGGTGAGCGGATCACCTGAGGTCGGGAGTTAGAGACCAGCCTGACCAACATGGAGAAACTCCGTTTCTACTAAAGATATAAAATTAGCCGGACGTGGTGGTGCATGTCTGTAATCCCATCTACTCAGGAGGCTGAGGCAGGAGAATCGCTTGAACCTGGGAGGTGGAGGTTGCGGTGAGCTGAGATTGTGCTATAGCACTTCAGCCTGGGCAACCAGAGGAAAACAAGAAAGAAAGAGAAAGAGAGAGAGAGAGAAGGAAGGAAGGAAGGAAAGAAAGAAAGAAAGAAGAAAACGAAAGAGAAAGGAAGGAAGGAGGGAGGGAGGGGAAAGAAAGAAAGAGCAGAAAAGAAAAAGAAGAAAGGAAGAAAGGAAGGAAGGAAGGGAAGGAAGAAGGGAGGGAGGGAAGGAGGGAGGGAGGGAGGGAAGGAGGGAGGGAGGGAGGGAGGGGAAAAATTAGCCAGGCTGGTGACATGCACCTGTAATCCCAGCCACCAGCTGAGGCAGAAGAATTGCTTGAACACGGGAGGCAGAGGTTAGAGTGAGCCGAGATCGTGCCACTGCTGCACTTCAGACTTGGTGACAGAGCAAGACTGTCTCAAAAACAAACAAAAACCAAGAAGGAGACGCCAGAGTCATGTGCTGATGAGGTGAGCCAGTTACCAGGCTCCCCGCATCTCAGCATGCCCCTTCTCCAGGGGCCGCCTCCCTTCCTGCATGAAAGCACACCCTCCCCTCCACCCCCGTTCCTTTATCCTGCTGTCCTTTTCTCCATAACACTTACCACCTTTGAACGTGCTACAGACACAACATGCGTTTGTCTAGCAACTTTGTTGTCTGGCTCTCTTCCCTAGAATTTTAGCTGTGAGAGGCCGAGGCTGCTGTCTGCCTGGCTGTGGCAGCCTTCCTGGTGTCTAGCACAGCACCTGGCCTGTTGCAGGGGCTCAGTGAAACATTCGTTGGCTGAAGGGACGGATGATGGCTCTGGCGGAAGCGCAGAAACTAACGACGCAGGAAGAGAGAGGTGGGGGCATACAGAGCCGGGGCCTGGCAGCTGTGTCCTCCCTGACTGCAGAGGAGGAGAGAGGCTGCAGGTTGAGGGGTGGAAAGACAGGTGAATACCCCTGCTGGTCATCTGCTTACTGCAGCTGTGTGGGTGTGAGGCGTGCGAAGAGAGCCTTCCCGGAGGCGAAGGGGATTGCCAGGCGGTTTGTGACAATGAATGCAGAGCTCCGGTGCCATCAGCCCACTTCTGCGACTCTCCCCATCAGGCGCAGGAACAGAGTAGGCGGAGAGTTGAGCCAGAACTGCGGTGCCTTTGGCACGGCCTCTCATCTGTCAGGTGGGAGCGGGGACCCCGGGAGAGAGAGCCAGCTCGAGGTCCCAGCATTCCTCCTGAACCCCTGTCTGCAGGTTTCTGGTCGTGTTCCGTCTCCTCCAGACTAGATGGCTTAGCTGACCTCTAAGAAAGTGGGCATGCACATTCGGAGAGCTTTCTGGGGTACAAGACTGGGCTGCGGGGTACCCTGAACTGGGACCATCTTAGAGCAAGGCCCAGGTTGCAGCAGGAAAAGTAACAGGCCGCCCACCCCAGCCATAGCCCCTGCCCTGGCAGGAAGCTCCCAAGAGTAAACACTGCGTAATGGTCCCGCCCAGCGAGCAGGCCTGTCCCATCTCACATCGACCAGATTTCCAGCCACCAAGGCCACCTCTCAGTCTGCTCCACTCCGCAGGGTGGCTCTCCTGAGGATGCGCCAGCATCACTCCCGGGCGAGATGCCCTCCCCTCTGTGTGGCCGGAATCCTTGCCTGTGGCTTTCTTCTGGGCTGCTGGGGACCCTGGCATTTCCAGCAGGTGGGATCATTTGCGGGAGCGCAGGTACTGTGGGAGCCTCTGGGTGCTGAAAGCAGGTCACCTGGGGCGAGGGGAGAGCCGAACAGCTGACTTTATCAGCTTCGGGGTTTGCACTGGGCAGGGGAGTCCGCACTTGGGGTTTTGGGGGGTGACGTGTGCTCACTGAAGAGGCAGTGGTGTCTCACTTCCACCTGCTCATCCGATAAAGCTGAACAGAAAGACACTAGTTTGTCCCAGACTGTGTGGGTGGCTCTTCTCCGCCTCTCCCGTCTCTGGGTTCCCCCTGTCCTTCTTGGTCGGCCTCACCCACCTCCCGCCTCCTGTCTCCCTCTTCATCCACCTCTCTCTTTTTTTTTTTTCTTTTTTAAGACATG